GTTTAACTGAGTTTTCATTCTGGCCTTTCTCCCCTTTCAAAGTACAGGCAACTGAAGCCTTTAATTTGCCTTGTCTTTCACTGCAGAGGAAAATAAGAGTTTATAGCAGCTGTTACTATCCTGTCTAGAATAGCTACACTAAAAAAAATCCAGTTTATTGTCTGTTGTGAATGAAAAACCTCTTGCTTGTTTGTGTTGTTTGTTGTGTTGACTTTGAAAGATAAATTGTTTGAACTGGTTGACTCTCCATTTGTATCATTGAAGATTAGCTTGCTTGATAGCCTGCTGGATTTGCAGTTTTCACTTGCTGTGAACTGAAGAACTGCTGGCCTTAGGACAGTTAGGACACAGCACATACTGGAAAAAGTTTGTGTTTATATAGATAAATAAGAAAATAACACCATACAGGACATTCTGGATATGCTGCTGATATGTCCTGTCTTTCCACCTGGAAGAGCTCTTCTAAGACATAGGAAGCCTTTTTAAAAAATTGCTAACAGACATGGATAGGTGGCTAATGAGTTGAAAGTAGAAGCTGGCAGGACCAGAATTAGTTTTTATCGTAGTTCTAAAATCCTAAATCATGCTGCTTGTTTTTGAGAACATAGATACTCTGTCCTTTTATCATACATTTGCTTTGTAAAAACAATTGGAGAAAAAAGCAAAAATAACTTCTTGTCACTCAAGTAAGCAGACCTGGCTCTGAAGATATAAAAGAAGTGACAGTAAAAATAGCAATATCTTATTGTACTGTAGTTCTTCAACAGAGAACCACATTTTGGGGTTCCCCTTCTTTGCATCCTTCTTTGTATTGCAAAGGCATCTTGCCCCAAGCAGAAGCTTTTGTTCTGGGGGGTCAGAGTCTGATTTCAATGGGACAGAGCTTGGTGCCAGCCAGTGCATTGAGGATCAGCTTCTAGACATTGACAAGGGCTCTGACTCTCCATGTGCATCCTCCAGGTTTGGTTTCTGTGCCTTCCTCTCTCCCCTTCTGCCAAGTGGTCCAGCTTTCCCAGTTTTTGTCTACTCATAATAAAGGCAGTGGAGCCAAGGTGCCACTCGAGCGGAAGACAGAAAGGAATGACAAAGGCATACACTATTTCCATGATGGGTATGATGCTCACAAAATTAAGTGGGATTTGTTGTGCCATCAGCCTTCAAAACATGCTTCTATCCCCAGAATAACTAAACCCCTTCAACCCTTGGCCAGGAGACTGAAGCCAAACTTCTGGTAAACTGACAGTTCAAGGGAAAGGAACAGGATGTGACAGGAAGGTCTAGATAGATTGAGGTATAGATGAGAGGAAGGCAAAACCTAGTGTGGAATTTTGAGATTTGAGACATGATAGTGGGAGACTGAGATACAGAAAGAAAGAAAGAACAACTGGGAATTAGAGTTTTACGTTGAGACTGGTTGGCAAGGAACTGGCAGACAGAAGACACAACAGAACTTCAGTACAAGGAAAGAAGAAGGATGAGAGTGGAAAGTCAGGGGGATAGACATGGAGACACGGAGAACCAGACAAGAGACTGGACTAGGACCTAAAATTTGGAGGCCCTGTTGGAGATTAAGAAAGGAGGGACAGTCAGGGGAAGGAAAAGGTGATCCAAGTCTGAGAGTGGAGGTCGGGCACAGGCAGCAGGGAGGGAAGGGAGTAGCAGGGGAGAGCTGTGGGAAGCAGCCCCACAGGGGGCAGAGCAGGGGGTGTGTGGGTGGAAAGGGGCACCACGGGCTCTGCTTGCTGGGACATCCTGACTTGCAGAGCTGGAAGTGGAACAGAGCTTCCCTGAGGCTGGTCTTCATGTTGGCTCAGCCAGCAAAGAATTTGCCTCTTGTGCTGTCTGCCCCAGCAGCAGCAGCACAGAAACGACTGGAGCTGTGTCCTTGGCCGAGGCAGCAGCAGCTGCCTGCCTGGGGGAGGAGAGCAGGCTTTTGAGTAGCTGGATGACAAAAATTTTACAGTTGGGAGGAGGTAGTGAAAAGGCCACATGACCGAGGGAGAAAGGGTCAATTCATTAGTCTGGCAGCCACTAAATTAAGAAAAGGCAAGTGGGGCTATATATCAGAGGTATCTGAATTCGGTCAAAGATGATTCTGAAGTTGCTAGATTGATCTTGTGGTCGGCTTAAGCAAGCTTAACTAATTAATTGCTTTATTTTAGTTCATTGTGTAAGAGCTAGCTCCTAATAAATAACACTGTTTTGTAGAAACATGCTTGAAACAACTGTGTAAATACTAAATAGCCTTAGGAATTGTCTTATGAATCCACTGAATAATCCAAATTCCAACACTCATCCCCCTCTGCTGCTGGTCTGGATGGAGGATAGCAGCCACTGCTGCTGTTTCTCTTTCAGTAACAGGGGTAGAAGTCTGTGCTGGACACACAAGGGTGGGGACACACAGCTGATGGCCCGTGGAGGTGCTCTGATGCTGCGTGATCCTGCACCAAGAGCTGTCCTTTCCAGGGGCACAGGAAATGCTACAGGTGTTACAGGAACATTATGAATGTTGCAAAGCCAAGCCTTTAAAAGTTAGGCAATGTCCAAGCGAAATTGCCAGTGAAATCTTAATTCAGAGCCATGTAGGTTACGAAATGCTCTTTAATTATATTTCTCCTGCTCGTTTCAGTGTGGATGGCAATAGTTCAAGGTCCTTGTACAGTCCTGTGGGGTTTCTGGGGCAACAGTCTCCTGATCCTGAGAGACCCTTCGCTGATACTTGTAAGGATTGTGAACTCCTGTATTCACCCTCTGCTCTGGGACAGGCCTGAGCCAAGGAGATCTGGGGACAAACATTGCTGATGGAGACTGGGAGTAGGTTGGAGCTGAGCTTTCCAGCATCCAGTAGGAGGGTATAAAATTACCTACTCCATTTGGGCAGATTAAAAACAAATCTTTCATGCATGAATTCTGCCTTTGCAAAAATGTCTGTTAGTTCTGATTGTTGGCACAAGTATTGCCATAATATCAGTCTAATCTCATATGACACATTTAAGGATTTGCAGCAGAAGGGTGGAGTTAGCAGTGTAAATTTCTTGGCTGATTTATCTCTTGTGACAATTGTCCTGCTCTGCTTTATATCAGCTTTTCAGAATAAATCAGCGTTTTTGAGTATGAAGTAACATTTCTTTAGATTTCAAATGATATTTTTTTTTAAAGCAAAGTGAGTGAAACCAGAAGTAGACTCTCTAACAGAACCAGAGTACATGTAGCACATATCCTTGGTAAATATTTCAATGCTAAGCCAACTGGGCAGTGACACTTTGCACACAAAGGGCCTGAGAAATGTAAAGGTACATGACAAAACATTCAGATCCTCCCTACAACACTACAGTCTTTTAATGCAAATGACTGTGTTCAATTAAGTCACAGAAGAAACATTTTTTTCAAATCAAACTCCAAGCTCTCAAAGTGTGTATTTCCATGTCTTGTAGAGGATCCTGCACAGTCCACAATGAAGTTTTACTGATTAATAACAGCAAATAAACACCCAGTCATTGTAAGAAATATTGTCACTAGGAAATTTCAACTGGTTTCTGTCTTGTGACCCAATATGCCAAAATTCCAATTCTGCTTTTAATTCTGTCCAGCATTTATTAGTAAAAGCCCACATAACCACACTGAACTGCCTAGTTTGCCAAAGACTCACACAAAGGCAATTGGCAGAATTTTGGTATTTGATAATTGAATGTGAATAGCCTTGTTTCACTGAAACTAGCCCAGATGATTGCCAAAAGTTGTAAAAGATCTGATGGAAATAGCAGATACTCAGATCTGACTATCTGATGTGGCTCCCCAATTTACTCATGGTTTTGATTCTGCTAAGTAAGTGCTGAACGTGAGCCTGTGGGACCAGTCCAGACTAGCAAGTACTGAGATCAATTAGTAGACTCCTATTAATTTGAACATATTTTAGAAATTATAAAGTTGAGATGCTACTGCAGTGCAGAATCCATCAAGGCTTGAAAGGGGAACTGATTGCAACCACCTGAGAATTTAGCATTAAAAAGCTAAACCTTTCTCAGCAAAATACTGAAAGATCTGTTACAACAAGTCAAAGAACTTGCTTTTAAAGCCCATCCTAAATGAAAGGGCGACTGATGGCAGGTGCTCTGTCACACCGGGGTATATTTGTCTGCACAGAGGTGTGGTTGTCACCTTCTGGTATCCCTTGCAAAGGCAGCTTGGTTGGGCTTAGCCTGAGATGTCTGCTACAGGAAGGGGAGTCAGCACATCGGTCCGAGGTTACAGTAGCTGCCAGCTGGGGATGGTCCCGATTTGTCGAAGAAGGAGACACGGGAATATCGCGGTGCCCGTGCCCGTTTCTTTGGCGGTGTCTCTGCAGCTAAAGGCGCCTTGCAGCTGTGCCCTGAGCGTCCCGCACTGAGGAGAGCTGCTCCACACCAGCCCACCCTCCAGAATTCCCGATCCTGGCTGCGCTGGGGGCCAACTCGCCACCCAGCTGTTGGAACGGCAGGAAACCCCTCCTGTTTGCTGTAACACTTTAATGAACCGCAGTGGGTCACCAGCCGAGTTACGGGCTGCGCTCCGCACCCGGGGCACCCCGGCAGCGCTGGCCCCACGGCAGCTTTCAGCGGGCACCCACCCAGGGACCCGCCACGGGCGCGGGGACAGCGCAGGGGAGCCCTGCCCGAGCCCCGCGGGGAGCCGGCCCCTCACGGCCCCGGCCCCTCACGGCCCCGGCCCCTCACGGCCCCGGCCCCTCACGGCCCCGCTCCCGCCGTCGCCAGGGGCAACGCGGCGCTTCCGCCGTAACCTGGAAGCGCTCGGTGTCCGCGCTCGGCGGGCCCGCCCCGAGAGCCGCGGGAGGGCCGTGGGCGGGCGGTCCCGTGACGGCTCGGTGCGCACAGACGGTGGCCGGCAGGGCAGGGCCGGGCGCGGAGCGGTGCCGAGCGCG